AGTTAAGTATCATTGAACTTCTCCTCTTTGCAAAGTGAACAAAAAACTTACTGGTCTCTCTGWTGTCAATTGTTTAAATGTTTGGCGGGGTTGTTTGTTTCTCTGAGTTCTAGGTTAAGAAAATACCAGACAGTCTCCTCTAAAAATATTACTTGAGTAAAAGTCTTAAAGTATCTGATATTTTTTGTACTTAAGCATCAAAAGTAAATTTCTGACACAAAATCTATGTATTACAAGTAAAAGTACTGAGTAAAAGTGAGCAGTTAGATTTTCCAAAATGACATTTATTGGGAGGTGACTTCTCCAAAAAATATTTTTTTCTAACAGYGTGCAGCTGTGATGGGTTGTGTACAAGCTAATAGTGTCAGAATGGTTTATATTTATACTTCATATCCAACCACAATTAAATTCACTCTATCAGGAGACACAATTTATCAGGATAGGATTTTTTTAATTAATAACAATTCAGAATAAATAGGAGCAATGATTTTCTACCTTTTACCTTTTTTAAAAAATGTAATGAGTAGAAAGTACAAATAATTGTGTAAAATTGTAATGAGTAAAAGTAAAAAGTAGGCTGAAAAATAATTACTCAAGTAAAGTGCAGAAAACCAAAATTTCTACTTAAGTACAGTAACAAAGTATTTGTTCTTAGTTACTTTACAACTCTGATGAAGTAAAGATGCCTACGCTGTATAACAGGGATTTTTAACTGCCAGATTAATTTTGCAGAAATCTAGCTAGCTAAGTAAGGTTTAACTTATAAAGCTAGCTGACTAGCTAGTTAGCTTTCATTAGTATAAAAACTAAAGCCTTGTTGGAGACGCTAAGTTAATTTTTAACTAAAGTTCACAATAGAGCAGCTACAGGCACAAAATATAATTCCATACAAGGTTAACACATAACTGTAAAGTACAGTGTCTGTCAGGGCTATTCAACTGGCGGCCCGAGGGCCACATCTGGCCCACGAGTGACCAAAGTTAATCCTGCCAATTGGTTCATTCATCTCTTAAGCCCCAGTTTTCTACTTTAATTACTCTGTTCTTTTAGTTAAACATAGACATGTGTGGTATCTACAGAAAAGTCAGAATCTTGTCTAGAAGCTGGTAAAAACCATTTCTATGATCACTCAAGACAGTTAAAATTACAAGCAGTTGAAGATAAAACTAAGAAAGTGAAAATAAAATTGGTTTAAACATTTGGCATGTCAGATATGTCAAAAGAATATTTGTGTTAAATATGAAGCATAATGTGTTCTTTTTGTTTTTGATATTGTTTAATTATCACTACTTTTTATATGGTTCTGTATGTTGTGTTCATGATTAAATGCAGCAAAATAAACTATTTCAAAGGTAACAGATCTTTATAATACTTGATTTATTTACATAATGACAGGGTTCCTACAGTTTAAGGCAAGTTAAATTTAAGACGTTTTAACACTTTTTAATGCCAAGTGAAATTAAATTTAAGACCAATTTCATAATAAACACAAATGACAAAAAAAAAAACTGCAGCAGAAACTCATGAATCAAAGTATTTTTGGTTGAAGTATTCAAATATTGCTAATAAACCAATTGTTTTTATCCATTTCTAACTGATTTTTCATCAAATATAGCAAAAACTTTCTTAGCAGTCAGTTTAATGACCCAAAATTTGGAGTTTTAGGACCCACAGTGGGGTTTTAACCCCAATTTGCTGTAGATGAAACTTTGAAGTGCCCGTGACATCAAAATTTGTAAGAACTGCTGTATAACATGTGAGAAGTCAATAATTTTAACAAAAAGGCAAGTTTTTGTGTAACTAAAACTCTTCTCTTTTGTCTTCCTTCCCCCACCATCACCCTCACCAGTTCTCCCTCTCATCGCTCTCTCCTTCCCCCGTCCTAGCCCCAGTCGCAGGCAGGGACGGAGCGGGGAGGCTGAGAATTCCTTCATAAGAACTAAAATAACAACCACATGGAGACAGCCGAGGGCTACACACACACACACACACACACTCACTCACACACACATACACACACTGATCACTAAAGAGGGCTAAACTTACGGACAGATGAGGCAGGGTAAACACAAACATTGAATCAGTCGCTTCATAATTAACTGTTCTTTGCTCTAAATTGTCAGATTGGACACAGAATAATCCTAATTAGGCCTCGCAGTCATTCCCGCGCTGTGATTTTAACAGGGTTTTACCTGCTTCCTCCGCCTTCTCTGCGCTACAACATCAAGATGTTACCGTCACTGTGAGTGTGTGTGTGGTGAGTCGTGTGGTTACACTGCAGGTTAGGGGGCGGTGTGTGTAGAAAAGGGGGGGTCACTGGGGTTAGGTAGGGTCAGTGCCCTCCACATGAAGCGGAAGCTGTGTGTCATTAGGAAGGGTTGACACAGTCAGCCTTGGGGACAAGTTCCCATACAACAACACACAWCAAGCTGAAGTTTGGATGTTGACGCACAGACAATGGTGCTGTAGCCGTTTAGATTCACTGTTGTATTAGTTTTACTGCTAAACTCCAGTGGAGAAAATATTCATTTGATTGATGAGTTTCTGAAATGATTGAATGTCAGAAACACGACAGAAAGACACATTTAAGTTYTTCAACTTTCTCTATGAAACAGGCAATCCATCCGTACCCTTTTTTTATTCATTTATAGAAATTATTTTAGTCTTCAAAAGAWTCAATGTAAACATTTATGTACAACAACCTTTTCTAGCTTCTTCAGTGAGACCACTTCTCCTCAGTTTATGAGTTTTGAAAGTGTAATACAGTAGAAGACGCTGGTGTTTAATCCTCTCTAGACTCACAAAAGCTCTACCAAAACCCTTAACATGATTTATTGTTCATAAGTTTTACCATGTCTAATATCTCTAAACTTTGCTTTCATAATGGTTAAAGATGTTTCTGATGTTTTCCAATCATTTTCAGTCCTTGAACCTGACCGTGATAGCARACGGTTAGGTTTGTGCTTAAAAAAGTTGGGAAGTGGAGGGAAAAAAGGAAGACGTGTCAGATTTTTGTGGATAATAACACGGTGATGAGATCGTCCAGCTTTGCTTTTTTGAATTTTCTTTTTAAGTCAACGTGCAAAACAATCTCATTAMGATAAAACACATCGTAAGGGAAGATTGACAACGATCTGCAACATACACAGTCAAAGGTACGACCTAAAAATATGAACTCATAAAGAAATGAAAGGTTGTTTGGAAGGAGGATGTGTGTACATCTCCAATGAAACATGTGCCCAGTCCTACACAGCCACCATCAAGAGCGTCTCTACAGTAAGTCWGTGTTTTATCCTGGTTCCACTGTCTGCACTAAACATTGATTGCATCATTAACCTGGGCAGTAAACTGACTGCAAAACACCAAYAGTTGATGATGGAAGGCACAGTTGAAGGGTGATGAGACAGGCTTGAAAGGTAGCAGAGGACTGAAGTAACTTGGCACAACACCACTTTCGAAAACTGCACTGTGGCCGTATGTTCTACGCAAAAATCAGTACACAAAAATAGTTATTTACTTAATAACTTTYCTTTCTCATGCACTGCAATCAGAAAAAATCCCTGTACATTTGGC